CTTCACTAGTCAGAACCAGTAGGTCAGCTTGCCAGCATGCTCTTCAGCACTTCATAGACCGCCCTGTCTGTCTCTCTTACAGGCATTTGTAGCAGGAGCACTGGAATAATTACACCGTGCTCACAGCCAGTCGGGGCTGTACTCACTTATTTGACCTTATGGTGAAATAGCGAAAGGTATAGAATATAGTACCATCGGAGACACTTGGCTATTTGCTCTGCTTTTGCTTGTACAGCAATAATTGCATTCTTCAAATACAGAAAAGATGGCCTGTTGACAGCATTTTTGCTGCAAAATACCAATACGTGTTTTTATTTCTATGGTTTGAAAAGAGTAATATTATGACATTACGTGCTGCACTTGAAAAGAGGAGTTAGAAATTTGATTGACTGTATTTCAGGTAGTATTCCTAGAAGTGACAAATATTTGTAGCTATTTTTAACCTACAGGGAAGGTAGAATGCAACTAACTAATTGTCCGCAAAAACTGATTGGCCTTGTAATTTCACAAGATAAAAATGTAGGCTGATCTCTTAATTGGATATTGCATATTTTCATCATTTTTATTAATGAAATATAATTATAACAGAATAATCTGCTATGGTTCATAGCAGAAATAATAAAAAAACAGGGTCTATTTTAAGCATAATCTATCAGTCAAAGAAGAAAGAACTGCAACAAAGAATCCTGATTTCCCTAGGAAAAAAAAAAAAAAGAGGTCTAAATAAAACCTGCCAACTAATTCTGGTTGCAATTTCTATAGTCAGGTTGTTTCTCTACTTTTAATGTATCCCTTGCACCTCTTTGTTGCAGTACAGCAATTGATGCTATTCTTAAATTCAGGGTTTTTTTTAATTTTTCTAAATTTGGTGGCATTTTAAACATATGTTGACATTAAGTGGGATATTCCAAGTACTGAGCTCAGAGGTTTCAGCTGAAATCGGGGGCCACTGTGAGTCCCTCCTTTTCTCTTCTTTTAGATTGCAAATAGAAGACACACTGAAGCGGCTTTGTTTTTTACTATTCTCCATGTAATACTTTATCTCATTGCCAGCTAGCCAACTGATTTAATGGCTAAAAATAATGTACATGGTTTTATTTTTTTCCTCTGGGCATTAGTTCAGCAAACTATCCTTGGTGTTAACACAACCACGGGGCTCCAAAATACTCCATTCCATAAAAATTGTGAATACTGATTTTGTAAAGTTCATGGACAGCATTCTTTAGCTGTCCTGCACTATTGCAAAAGCCTAAAGGAAAAGATAGGAAGACTTTGGTGTGCAGAAGACCATAGGATACTCCAAAGGCTGATGGGAAGGTTGCTTCCTAACTGCAGTTGCCTTATTTCCCAATCCAGGGGTTGGGGGCGGGCGGAGTCCCCTGTGCGAAAGGCGGGTGTACTACTCCCCCACGGGCACAGACAGAGGTCGGTCTGCACGGTGCCTCTGAGCACACTGGCACCTTTCTACTCTCATTTTTTAGTTACCAACTCAAAGGTTCGATGGATTTTGTTCCATATTCTTGACTTCTGTGGTTGCACTGAAAGAAAAGCCAGGACTAGAGTAACTAGCCTGGTGGTTGCAAAGAAGCAGTCTGGATCACCTGAGAGGTGTTTGTGGAAGCATAGCACTGGGGAAGCAGAAGGGTAGAAGTGAGGACAGAGAAACCATTGACAATAACCAACAATGAACACCACAGATTTAGTAAAAGTCTAAGACAATGTAGTAAGTTCAGAGAGGCACTTACTAGTATCCTTCTTTGATGTGAAGTGGGGACAGTCATACATTCAACTACTTACTTGGGACAAGGCGGAACATTCTAAAAAACTGGGAATAGTTGGCCATGGCTATTATCCCAGCTCTCAAGAGGCAGAGGCAGGCAGATCCCTGTGGGCTCAAGGCCACCCCAGTCTACACAGAAAGCTCCAGGCACCCAGGGCTACATAGTAAGACCTTGTTAAAAAAACAACAAACAAGAAACCAACTGGGAATGGTTTGCAGGTGATAAGAAAAGCCATAAGGAAAGAAAAGCCAGGCTCCTCCAAGGGGAAGGGGAAGACAGAGGGCCTCTTTCTGCCAATTCTGGTTTGTTTGGTTTTGTTTGGTTTTGTTGGTTGGTTGGTTGGTTGGTTGGTTGGTTGGTTGGTTGGTTGGTTGGTTTTGTTTTTACAAATCTTTCTTACCATTCTTTAAACTTCCCATCAATTCTTGAGAGTAGAGCACACAACTGTAGAGTGGACAGGTGGGAATGAAGAGAGCACGCGAGGAAAGGGCTGAGTTTGTACTTGGCTAGGTCTTTGAGGAAGATCTTCAGGCACATTTTGTTCACTCATTTGGTGGTAGGGTCCACAAGTGTCTGCGCTGTGTGAGCTAGAGTGAGGGAGAAGAGAGAGAGATAGTATGAGTAAACAAACAAGCAAAGGAACATGCGATGGTAAAATGAAAAAAGTGAAAATTAAGCATGCAAGAGAATGGCAGTGTAAAGAGGCCAAGTACCACCTTTGAACAGAGAGGAGTGGTGGGGCCAGGGAGTCTGCTCAGTGGGGAAAGTGCCTGCTGTGTGAGGACCTGAGTCTGGAATCTGACACCCACAGGAAAGCCAGACCCACTAGCACACGTCTGCAACATGAGCCCTTGGGGAGAGATGCCTGACCACACAGCCTAGCCAGAACGGTGAGCCCCAGGTTCAGTGAGGCCGTCTCATAAGGTGGACAGCAGAAGAGGAAGACACCCCATATTAGCCTGGAGCCTACGCCCCCAGGCGCTCACATGTCGCACACACATGTACACCATACACAATGAACCAGCAAAGGAAGGCGTGAAGGAGGAAGGGGGGAAAGGAAGAAAGGAAAAGAAAGACTAGTGAGATTGAGGGGCCTGTCACCCGCATAAGAGGCTGGATTCAGACAGTGCAGTTCATGCCTATCGATATAATAATGTTCCCACATTTAAATGAGGTTTCTGTTGAGATTGTAGTTTGATTCTGCCGAGGTTCGGAAATAACTGTTAATGAAGGGAACACTTAATGGTCTCATAACGTGTGCTGGGCATCTTGGCCCTCTCAGCTTTCAGCCAAAGGCGAAAAGGGAAGAAGGACGTCTGAGAAGGGTGGATATCGGGGAAGCAGGCAGGACTGTGTCAGAGCGGTGCAGATGGGAGCTGGAGAGACGGCTTTGCAGTTACTGCAGTTGGGAGTGCCTCCTGCTCCCAACATGCACGTTGAGCGGTTCGCACCCACCTGCAGCTCCAGCTCCAGCTCCCACGGCCAGGTACACTCCTCGGCCCTTACAGGCACGCACACGTGCACGCACACACATACTGTTTCATTCTTAAAGCACAAATGTAGGATTTTGCAGTTCTGTTGCTCAGAAATTAAAAGGCGCTAAAATAAAAGTTCTAGCAGAACTGTAGTTTTTGCTGGAGGCCTGATGGAAAAATAGGGTTCCTTTCAAATTCGTAGACATTACCTACAGAGGAATTCACAAAGGTTCTTGGTCCTCTTCCTCCATCTTTAAGCCTGAGAGCACTGCAACTCCCTGTGCCTCCCATGTATTGTCTCATTCCTAACTTCCGACTCTTCTGCCTTCCTCCCCTGCTCTTACGGATAACTGTTGTATCATGTGTACCCAGAAAAGGCAGAACAGTCTCTTCACTGTGAGGTCAGTGGTTAACCACCATACTTCCTTTTATGCGTAGCCTAGCATATACGCAGGTTCTGGCATTAAGATTCCTGACACAAAAATAGAAAAGTAACATGGAAAATTATTTTCAAAAACTTTCTTCCTTTCTATAATTTTCTGCTACCCTGGGGTTGGCTCAGTAGTTAAGAGCACTTGCTGTTCTTCCAAGTCCCAGCACTCACACCGGGCAGCTCACAACTGCCTGTTAACTCCAGCTCCAAGGAACCTGATGTTCCCTCCTGGCCTCCGTGGGCGCCTCCACATACACAGCATATATGGACACCTGCACACACATTCACGCATTCACTCCAACACATACACGTAAATGAAAACAAATCTTAAAAATGCCTTCTAACTTTTGTTTTATTGATGGATACATTGAATGTCACAGAGCGTCCCATGTCACTTCCCACAGTATATGTCCTGGGCTTTGGAAGTGCACATACTTCATAACATTGAAGTATCTTACATTGTATTCTACTTTTATTTCCAAAATATTTTCTTATGTGTTACTTTATGTGATCTCCTATAAGAGTGCTCTGAGGTTGCTAACAGAAAATGGATGTATGAATAGGGCTGAGTAACCAGTTCGCATCGTTCTGTATATGTGTTTAATACGCATCCTGATCAGTGGTAAAATAAGGAACCAGGTAATCTGCTGGAAGACTGACCTCAAGCACATGACAAAACAAGACTTACTCATGCTGCACATGTGATCAAGTGTCTTTTACATTTTAACTTGGACAGCATCTTAGTGAGAAGTCTCAGGCTGCCTTTCATCTTTACTTTGGAAAGAAGATGCAGTCACAGAATAGTCTTAAGCACATTTGTATTCACACTTTATTCCTTAAGCTCCAACATATGTTATTTTCTAATATGTCTTTTAAGACATTTACCTGAATAGACTGAATGTAGATCCACAAAATCCTAAGAGTTACAACAGCATAGACATGCATGAAAACAAAATTGAAATTCTGTCTACCTCTGTTCACTTTCACATGTGAGTGATTCTCTAAATTATTTGAGAAATTAATAGTCATTTTCTAAAATGACTCAAACCACTCATTGGTCTTTCTGTCTCTTTAATTCTTAAGTTCATATGCATAAAACAGAGAGAGAGTTTCAGATGAATTGTAAACTCATTTGCTTTTCAGATGTTGTCTGGTGTTTAAACACTAGCATCAAAGCAAAGAGGCAAATTATCAGAGTTCATTTGGTCTGAAGCCCCATTGCCTGAGTTTCTATAGTTTTCCTTATGCTCAAAGAGAAAGGTGTTTCATATCTTGCATTCATCTGTAAGATCCCTTCCTCGACAGCAGTTACACTCCAGACATGTGTTTGGGCTCAGTAACCACAAGGAGGCATGGAAGCATCTCTCAAAATGTGCAAAGCGATTTTAGCTTTGGAGAGAGTTGTATCTTTGGTTCCTGACAAACAGCTCTTCCGGCTTGTGAGGAGCAGGCCCTCCCGGCCTGTGCCTGGACCCGGGTTCTAAAGGCCTGATGTGGGAGCAGAAGCTACTACATCTTTTGTGGGGTTTCTGGACAATGGCGACACATGTGCTTCCCTCTGCTCCATCATCAGTAAAAACAAAGGAAACACAGGACTTTCTTCATCTGGACAAAGCCAATGTCTTGCCCTGTGAAAGTTAAATGTTCTTCTGACTGAGAGCTTCTTTGACATGTCAGTTCCTTAAATATATGTTCTGACAGCAAGAGATTTGACTGAAGCCTGCAGAGAATGATTTTGGGACCCAGCTTCAAAGTGCTGCATGATTCTAAAGCCAAAGCAGTCCCTTAAGCCTGGCCCTAACATTCTTAGATGTCCTTCTGAACACTCAGGTTAAATGTCAGACATTCTCCACGTAGTTATAATCTTGATCGTCGGAGCTCTGTTGGTATTGAAAGATAGGACCCTCTATTGAAGAGCATGCTGCATATCTCATCTTAGACATTTAGTCCCTGAGAAGTGCAGGCTGAATTTTTAAGAGTTTATTGTTTCTGCAAAATGCTGCAGAGGAAAAAAATTTGGCCTTAAAAATGCAGACTGTGACATTTTGAATTCCCATAGGACATTGCTCTATACTGATTTGCTGTTTCTGTTTTGACACTTTCTTTGCCTTTTAGGATATATCCAGTCTGTGCGACAACACATTTCTGATTTGGACATAGACCAGAACATGCAGCTGGGGAGGCTGTGTGACATCCTAGGTACAGTAACTAAGTTTACATGACGCTCCGCAACTTTTAAGTAGATGTTAGTAAAATATATCTTTTTTTATTATTTTCCCCTTCCATAAGAAAAGAACTTAACTTTCAAATTATTTTTTCCTCTGCAGCATTTTGTTTTAAGTAATAGATTTACAGTGAAGCCAACCTGAATTTTAAAATGTTTGAATTACTTGAATAGTTTTCTAGATTCTTTTTTGAAAAACAGTTTTTATCTGATAGACTCAGATAATCTTGATTAATTGACTTCTTGCAGTGAATGGGATCAGAATTCTCTATTAGTGTCAATATTGTCTATTCTATCTTCTAGGCAATGAGTAGAAAGTGGTATCCAAAATGAAGCATTGTGCTTTCCCTATAAGAATAAGAGGGAAGCAGAGAGAGATTCTGAGACATCATGAAGTGCCTTCAGAAGGAATTCTTAGAAATCTGAGCCTTTGGACAAATGGAAATGTCTTTGTAAAGTTAAGTGCTGGTGCTGTCTAGCCAGCTCCAGTCACGGACCTGGATCCAGGAGAGAAAAATATATGATGCTAAGGCCAGGTTGCAAACCTGGATTAAAAAAAAAAAAAAAGTTTACAAAGCATATGCAATAAGTCAAGTCAGTTTGTGAGGAACTGGCCCCAAATTAAGGGTTAAATAATAGATATTTTAGAAGTTAATAGGAAATTCTTTGTTTTGTTAAAATATAATTGCTTGTGCCTTCTTTAAGCAATAAAAGAAAGAATTTTATATCATCAACGACCAACTTAGCTGGCTCCCTGGAATGACATACTTTACATGATTCATAGATATTTCAACATCATTATTATTTTATAAATGCCATTTGGTAACAAAAATACATTTACAGTGTCCTAAAATAATAATAGTGTAATTGCTTTAATATGTTATCTGGGCACCAATTCTGTGTTTCAGCATTACACAACAACATCAAGCCTTTTAGTGATACGAGATTGATTTGCTAGCGCTGAGCTATTCCAAGTAAAGCCTGCCTGGCTGGGACCACTGAGGTGCAGCAGAGGGCAGACTTTGCTCTGATTTATTTGAGTGAATTTTTCCTTAGCTTTTTATATACCCTTCTATATATAGTACAAGCCATCACAAAGGATCGTCTTTATAGAAGCCCCTTAGTATAGAAGAAAACAGTATTAGGCTACTGTTTTGAATAAGCCAACAATTCAGTCTGTATCTACAAAGAAAACATTTTGCAGCTAAGGGCATTTCTGAGGGATTGTGCCTTTTTCTGGTACACTATCATGCTGAGATAGCTTCTTCAAGAGGACAGTTTAAAGGTAGCTGGTGAAGGTCAAAGTGTTTTCTTGTGAAATAAAAATAGAAAAAGAAAAGAAAACTAAATGAGAAATGATTTGGGAGGAAAAGTGAAACTTCTTTTATTCTGTTAATTACTAGTAAAGGGTATTGGTTTACCTGCTTATTCAGGAGGAAAATGAAGATAATCTGATAATAAAGATCATCTGTTAAGACTTACTACTGGATATTGCTTGTGATGCGAGGTCTGTCCTGCCTAGCGCTTTTGCATTTCTAGATGACTAAGAGAGCAACTGATTTCGACTGCCAATCAAACAAAAACAAAAACAAAAGAATCCCTTTGTCTCCATAACCGTTTCTTTCCATAACTATCAATTAATTGTATTTGTAGATTCATAGTGAAATTATACTCACCCTGGATATTAGTTAGTGATGCGTATTTTTTTGGCAGAAATAAACAAGAAGGTGAAATTCTCAATTTGATTTTTTATTATTTGAAACATAGAATTTCTTTCCAAGTAAAGATCTTCTGATACTCTAGCTATTTTTGCTATTTACATCCTATTCTTTTATGCTTTTCTTAAAACAAAAACAACAACAACACACATTTGGTTTTAAGACTCACTAGTTTGGTAAAACACTAGTTTCTTCTCCAAAACACAAGGCTAGCAATAACTAATGTGATCAATCGCAATTGGATATAAGTTATTTAATTACTGTCTGTTCAGCTAATTTATTTTGACATTTATATGGCAATCTGGTTTCAAAATAAAATGGTAGCCCCTTAAATATTTACATATATGGAACACTTCCATACCAGCCTTCTGCTGGGCTAACTTAAAAGACACTCTGTCTTAGTAGGGAGAGATTTCTTCTACGTGCCATATAGCTCACTAAGTGAGCAACACATTCAACCATCTAAATCTCTCGTTTCTTCTAAAACCCCAGCCAGCCATGGTGTTTACTATTTCCTATGTACTCTACACTGTACTGTGACTTGGGGGTCATATAGAATATAAACCTTGAATTTAGGAGCTTGGAGAGTGCTGATGGTGCAGCTCAGCTGGAGAGAGCCAGCATGCAGAAGCCTTGAGTTTGATCCCCAGCACTGCATAGAACTGGCCTGGCAGTGCAAACCTGCACTACCAGCACATAGGAGGTAGGATTCCAAAGCTCTACTCTACCAAATATTGAGTTAAAGGTCAGCCTGGGCTATGTGAAACTGTGTCAGAGTTAAAAGAAAGAAAGAAAGAAAGAAAGAAAGAAAGAAAGAAAGAAAGAAAGAAAGAAAGAAAGAAAGAAAGAAAGAAAGAAGGAAGGAAGGAAGGAAGGAAGGAAGGAAGGAAGGAAGGAAGGAAGGAAGGAAGGAAGGAAGGAAGGGAAAAGAAAAGAAAGAAAAAGAAAAGGGAGCTTGGATTAATAGACCGAAAAATGAGCAGAGACAGCAGATGACACCACTTCATCATTAAATCAAGGGATGGAGCAAAAGTAGCCCAGGTGCAGAGGACATGGTCAGCACTTTCTGTGTTTCCTTTCTTTTATCCTAAAACTCTATACCCAGGTGATTTAACTCCCCACTTTACAAATGAAGAAACCAGTGCTTAGCAAAGTTAAATAATGTGCCAGGGCCTGAGGGTGCTAAACTAGAATTTAATCAATCCATGTTCTGTGTAGTCTGCCAAACTAAACAAACAAACAAACAAACAAACAAACAAACAAAACCAGGCTGGAAATCACCTCCTGACCTTCCCAGCTCAAGGTGACACTTTCAGCCCTCCCTCCCCTGAACTTCCCTGAATACCTATGTGACTTGTGCATGTGAAATGGTTGCTCCTATGGCCTTAATAACTCAGTCACTTTGATCTCTACATTTCCTGGGATGTTGAGCCAGTGCTTTGTTCCTCTTTGTATCTAGAGCAGTTAGTTATGAATGAACTCATAGCTCCAATGGCCGCTAATTTCCATCCATATGCCGTAAAATGTCCAGCACAGAGTGAGTAATTTCATCTCACTATTCTGTTTGGGCCAGATATTCAGTTAGGACTTTTCTCTGTGTGTAGCAAGAAGCACATCTTAAGGAAGAGCAGAAGTGGGACAGTATTTTCTTTGGACCAGGAATCATTAGATGTGCTACTGAAGCAATATATTCGTCTCCAGAACTGAAACTAGGATAGGGTGACTTTCTGAAGGATCATTGCTAGTCATAACCAATGGTTTATTCTGTCAAGGCCTTCCCTGAACTGGCCCTGTCAAATCTGAGAAGAGGATGCCACTGAAATTTCATCAGCTTTCTAAAGCCAATAGCTCTGCTTTGTAATTTCCTGACCTGAATGGGATACATTCCCAGTGATGCTAAAGGGAACGGTTAAGTTAGATTCCTGTGCATTATCTAAAAGTTTGCTTCCTGTTTCCTCACAGCCCTCTTTATTTTGTTGGTGGAAGTATCTTCTTTAGAGAAACGATGGAGTGCAGAAGGCTGCTTTAGCTTGCTGAGACACATGCAAAGCCAATCTAAATTAACTTTGGTTAATTTAATGGCTTTTAGATATGCTCTTTGTTTTAAACTACTGTAATATCATTTGGATGCCAGAGTTCATCATGTCATTTACCTTTATATCAGTAATTAACGTTGTGCCTGTTATTTCTTAGACAACAAGGTCAATGTCATCTATGTCTGCTCCAATGCTATGAATGATGAGTTAAAGCTGTACTACAAAAAACTCCTGAGTCTACACGCAGCTGTCAAATCAGGGAACTGTGAGGATAGGACTGACCCGCAGAACAGGATCAGAATTATCACCCCTGAAGCTGTAAACATCTTCACTGTGAGTTTGTCTTCTAATTACTCTGGCTTTAGGGGTGCAGTAAAATTAAATTGGAAATTTTATAACTTGCAATGCTCTGGTACACACCAGTGAAATATTATTGCAAGTTTAACAGCTTTGCTGATTAGACTACTAGTTGGACTGTAGGAAATAAATACCACAGTTTAACTTTCAAACTTAGCTGAGCTGCCCTGTCCAGTCTCTCTGTGGCTGAAGCCTAATTGCAGCTCCTGGAAGGTACAAACAAACAGGTAGATTTACAGCATTTATCACCCTTTTTCTTAATCTATGTGGAGCTCACCTGGACAGTGAAAGGCTGCTCAGGCCTTTGAAGTCATAAAACCTCTCAGGGGGAGAATGTGGACCAGTGCCCCTAATTTCTGACTTTTACAAAGGTATTCCTTTTTACTCCACACTCTATAGGAAATAGGCTTGATGTTCCACATTACGTGGTTCTTTATGAACAAGGCTTACATTTTCATACACTGATATGTAATGGATAGAATAGACCCTTATCTCTGCACAGGAACTACTAAGAAATATCTGGAACCATGAGGGCAGAGTTGTAGTAAATAGCCCTACAACAGATGAGTTGAAAGGGACTTGTCCACATTTTAATAAGAATATGTAATTATCTAACGGGCTAGCCAATTTTGTCTGTTTTAAAAAGAAGGACCCTGCATTTGCTAACAGACAACACTCTCCATTTATAGATGAGGAACTCCATAGTCATATTACCAGAGAAAGTCGTAGTAGGGAGAGGGGTTGAACTCAAAAAAGTTCCACCGGGGCTTTGGGGGAGGGGGAGTGCTGCTGTAGCATTTCAGCTTTGTATACACTCAGCGAAGCATCTTCGGCATTCACTTTCTTCTCTCCGGACTAACATCTCATAAGAGTTCACCTCAGTAGTTCTAGTAGTGTTCTGCTCAGCTCTGCTTTGTTGGTACATCTGGCTGTGGAAAGGGAGGACGAGTACAAACTATCACAACTTACTTATCCTCTTATGGTCTTTTCATACCCTCCATCAAAATTCAGGGGTCTTTGGTGCTTCCTGGCTAGCTCATGCCCTCAATGGCACAATTGATAGGGATGTTAGGAAGAAGAAAAACACCAAAACCCATTTGTGTTTAGTTAAACTGTTGATATTTTCAGAGCTAACTCCAGCTAACCCTGCTAGCTGCCCATAGGGAATGTGCGTATATCTGAAATTGAAGAGGCAGCAGGGAGGAGATTTGTGATGAGGACAGTAGGTAAAGAAACATTTGTCAGATTCTTAGCATTATTTTCTCTTTTGAGCCTCAAACAATGTGGCACACTGAAATCATTGCTCCTTTCATGGCCGCAGAAACCAAAACTCATTTTCTACTTCAGTGTCCCTAGTAGGGCCAGATTGTGAACCAAATTGTGTCTCCTCTAGGTCACTAGTACACACTGGAATGACTGCTGTGTTTGTGGATGGCCCAGTGGCCTTGGGCAAGCCTCCTTAGCCTCCTTGTCCTCTCTTCTTCAGTTATGAAATGGGGGATGGCTGCAATAATTCCAAGGTCCTCTTCAGGTCTGTAGTCCTCATCCCGGAGAAGGTTGCCCTAGCAGTGCCCTTTCCACTTCCAGACTGGAGCCAGGCAGCAGTCCCATGACAGCTGAGCTCCAGCCAGGGCAGGTCTGCATCTCAGTGGGAAGAAACAGGTAGACAAATCTGAAGTACTTAATAGTGCTGCTTGGAACTTAAATTCAAATTATTTGAGTGATTAATCACTCAGACTATCAAGTTTTTAAAATACAAAAATTAAACTTTCACTTTCAAATCAGTTCTACTCCTATTTAGCTATTGCTTTTTCTTTTTACTGGGTCTGAGAGATTGTGTCAGTGCTGATTTTCATTCAAATGGATGGCTTTGAGATTTTTTTAAAGCGTGCCAAAAATCTCTTTGTGCATCTCTCCAAGTTACTATGTAAAGCTAGAATCTGTAATGGCAAGTGTGCCTGTATAAAAGTCATCACGTCTGTTTTGGAGCATTTTAATGTTTATGAAGACATTCTAAACAACTATCTTTGTCTCGGGTCAAAAATAAGAAATAAGTGGTGGTCAAAGTAGCCATTAGGAAGGGAATTAGGAATATTCTAGATCTTTTTCATCTATGATAACCTGCTGTCTGAAACTGATGATGCTGACTTTCTCTTAACGGTCTCACAAGACCTCAGGTCAGTAGCATGCCTTCTGCCATCACTTACTCACATTTGAATCTTTATCTAAGGTATCACTATGCTTGAAGAGTAAGGTGTGTCCAGAAATGTTTTGGAGCTGATCGAATACTCCTCTAGGAGACAGAAATGCATCCCTGCCAGACAAGATCTGTACTCAGATCTTGAACTTGATTATTGGGTCTGCTTCCCCCTCTCCACAGTTCCTAAGCCCACAAGCCTTCACTTCTTGCTTTGTAGGACAAGCACACCAACTGTGCTAACTGGTTCAAATCCTCCACTTTGTGGTCAGAACTGTATAACTGTGGACAAATCATTCATCTCCATAGCAAAGACTGTTGTATGGATCAAGGGAGAGATGACGACGTTGAGCTTCGATTATAAGGGCTTACTGTATTTTAATTATATATGTGTGCATGTGTAGGTGCGCCCTGAAGCCAGAAGAGGTTGGGCCCCCTAGAGTTAGAGTTGTTGCTGTGAGCCACCTGATGTGTATGGGGGGAGCTGAATTTGAGTCCTCCGAGAAGCAGCAAGTGCTCTGTTGAACCATCTTTCCAGTTCCTGCTTTGAGCTTCTTACGCTGTCATCAAATACTTCACTGTAACTCAAACCAGCAGTTCTGTGTGTGTTTATTTGTTTCACATTTCCACCCTGAAGTAATACGTAGGAAAAGAAAAGCACTTAAGTAAGCACGAGGACAGGTGGTCAACAACCACCGCTGATACAAATCTACCAAGTGCCGCCATTACTGTTGTCTCATGGAACACCAAGTTTCCTAGAGCTGCACTCTGAAAAGTGCATGTCAAATGTGAACTTAAAGTGTACTAGAAAAGCTCAGTTCAGTAGTGTTACATACATTCACATTGTACAAACTTTACTGTTGCTATCTCACAGCTCTCCATCACCCCCAGCAGAAGCTCCATACACATCACATAAGAAATACGGAAGTGCCCTGGCTTTACTTCCTTCTTCCAGAGCTGAAGCACCCTGGAGACTTCAGTCCAATTTCTCATTTGACTGTAAGGAAGGAACTGAGTTTCAGGAAGGCAGAGGGTTCTACAGCCAGCTTAACTCCAGGCTGGGAACTGAATGTGAAAGTTGTGAACACGCTGACAACAGTGAAATGCTTCTAAATATGCTATGATCAATAGTTAATTCAAAATCCATTCCGTAATGAATCCAACACATTTTTGGTGATACTTGGTTATGTCATGGTACAAATGTCATGTAGCCTCAATTCTGACCATACAACTTTGCACTGTATGCCTTCATGGCAAACAAATGGCAAATGAAATTTTGTTTTTTTATGTGTATGAGTGTTTTGTCTGCATATATATCTCTGTACCACATTTGTGCTTGATGCCATCAGGAGCCAGAAGAGGGCATCAGATCCACTGAAACTAGAGTTTCAGGCAGTCATATGCTACCATGTTATTACTGGGGACCTGACCTAGTTCCTCTGCAAAAGTGGCAAGTGCTGTTAACCACCAAGCCATCCTCCAGCCCATAACAGTGCCAACTAAGACTATCTAAGACACCTCTGCTCAGCTGGGGGCTGTGGTGTATTATGAACTGCAGTGTTTTGACTCTGTCTTAGTGTTTCTATTGCTATGATGAACACCATGTCTGCAAGCAACTTGGAGAGGAAAGGGTTTATTTCACTTTAGAGCTTATAGTCTATCATGAAGGAAAGTCAGTCCAGGAACTGAAGGCAGGAGCCTGGAAGGAGGAACATGTAACAGAGACCTGGAAGAGTTCTACTTAATGGCTTGCGTTCTATGGTTTCCTCACCCTGCTTTTTTATGCAACTCAGGACCACCTCCCAGGGGTGGCCTCACCCCCAGTGAGGCAGTTGTGTACCACCATGCGATTGTTGGGAAACTAACCCAGGTCCTCTGCAAGAGCAGCAATGTGGGTCATCTCACAGGAAAATGCCGTCAACCAAGAAAATGCCTCACAGGCTGACCTATAGGCCAGTCTAGTGGTAATGAGGACATTCTCTCAGTTGAGGTTTCTCTTCCCAGGTGACTCTAGCTTGTGTTAAGTCAGCAAAAAATAACAAACACACTATACATCCAAACTTTTCTGCTTTTATAGGAATATGGTTTAATTACAGAAATCAAAGACATTTGATATTTTCCCACCATCATTCCCCAGCAAGTAAGTATCAAGTTTGTGTCTTTGCATTACATTCTGTTAGACCGTTTGATTTTTAAAATTACTGTTAGAGGGTCTGGAAAGATGGCTCAGCTGTTAAGAGTGCTTACTGCTCTTCCAGAGGACCCAGGGTGGGTTCCTTATACCCACATGGTAGCTCACAACCACTTCTAACTCCAGTTTGAGGGGATCTCATGCACTCTTCTGCCCTCCATGGGGCCCTGTGTAAACATGGTACAAATAAGCTCACATGACTATACACACATAACACATAAATGCTGTTGAGTTGCTGACTGAGTTATAGCTTTAAACATTGTTCAATTAATTTTGGCTTAGGATTAGAACAGAATTTCCAATAATTTCTGAAATGTCTACATACTTTTGGTGTTTTGTACTATGTATTTATGCAAAGTTGCATTTTCAACAGTGATGAGTATAAAATAAAAACATTGATCAACTCTTATAAAATATTGGATAAAATACTGAAGATGTTCTATGCCCTGAGGTATCAAATATTCAGCAAAGACTTAATTTTTTATAAACAATGAACAAGCATATAATCCCATTGGTATATGAATTTGCTTTATCTTTAGTAAGTGGTAAAATTATACATATACCAAGGAATTGTTTTAAAATAAATTT